CATGTGCTTGCGAACAGAACAAGGTCGGTGTCCTACCGAGAAACACAACCGCTGGCCCATTTGTGGAAGACTGGAAGCGCGTATATGCGAATATTTCCGACGAAGTAGAAGAAGTTGACATTGCGCCCGCTCTTTCGGCCGCTTGCTTCTCGATAAAGGACACTGATGAATTGGTACGTTTCCTAGAGAGTGACATGAGGGTAAGTAGGCTAATTCGCATAGGTGTCCATACGAAATGCTTCAAGAGCATGTAGCGGTCTGATGTCAGAATATTTCGTCGATGAGATGTCTCGGTTGCTTGACGAAGAAAAGCAGATGACCCATAAAACTCTCTCTATGCGTATTGACGCTAAGATAGACGATGCCAAATTCTTCAACAAGCTAGCAAAATTGCCGTCTGAATTCGATCCGCAACAAATTGACTGGGCATATGGACCCGTCATTCAGAGCGGCGGGAAGTATGACTTGAAGCTTACAGCGTTATCTGATGACAGCAATCTAGAACCGGGAATCATCATTGCTGGGCTCGGAATTCGTTATAAGACTTACAGTTCAATAATTGGACGTACCTACCTGGTTGACCCAACCAAGTCCCAGGAAGCGAACTATACCTTACTCCTGAGTGTTCACGAAGCCGTTTTGAAGGAAGTCCGCGATGGTGTAGTGGCCAAAGAGCTTTATAACAAGGCGCTTAGCCTTTTGCGCGCTAAAAACTCCGAACTCGAACCTCACTTCGTGAAAAACGTCGGTTCGGGGATAGGAATCGAGCTACGCGACTCCAACATGGTTCTCAATGGAAAGAACAACAGAATTTTAAAGAGCGGCATGACATTCTCTATCACAGTTGGACTAGTGGACGTCGAAGAACCGAGCGTGAAGGACAAAAAGAATGTTTATTCAATGATGATCACAGATACCGTTCGGGTCGGTGAACAGGGACCGCATGTGTTCACTAAGGATGCCGGTATTGATATGGACTCGGTGTCATTTTATTTTGGAGATGAGGAAGAGCCACAAAAGCCCGCAAAAGAAAAGAAAGAACCCAAGTCGAGTGCGATTGCGAGCAGGAATGTTACCAGGACAAAACTTCGTGCCGAGCGCCCGACGCAGGTCAATGAGGGCGCGGAAGCAAGGCGCCGTGAGCATCAGAAGGAATTGGCCACGAAAAAAACCAAAGAGGGTTTAGATCGATTCACTGGTACCACTGGCGATGAAAACGGCGTTACGCAGAAGAAGTTCAAGAGGTTTGAGTCATACAAGAGGGACAATCAGTTGCCAGCTAGAGTCAAGGATCTCACAGTTTACGTCGATCACAAGGCATCGACTGTGATTGTTCCGGTAATGGGTCGGCCAGTGCCATTCCACATCAACACTATCAAGAATGCCAGCAAAAGCGACGAGGGGGAATACGCCTATCTTCGAATTAATTTTCTTTCCCCTGGCCAGGGTGTCGGGAGGAAAGATGACCAGCCATTTGAAGATTTATCTGCACATTTCTTAAGGAATTTAACCCTTAGATCGAAAGACAACGATCGATTCGGGCAAGTGGCTCAGGATATCACTGAACTCAGGAAGAACGCTCTTAGACGCGAACAAGAAAAGAAAGAGATGGAGGATGTGGTTGAGCAAGACAAGCTAGTCGAAATCAGGAGTCGGCCTCACACCCTTAGAAGAATGAACTTGGGACTAACAGTTATTCAGATCGCCGCCCGGTGAAGTTGCCCGATGTTTACCTTAGACCGCCTCTCGATGGCAAACGAGTGCCTGGCGAGGTCGAAATACATCAGAACGGTCTGCGCTATGTTTCCCCCTTCCGCAACGAACACGTCGATGTACTGTTCAGCAACGTCAAGCACCTCTTCTTTCAACCATGTGCTCATGAATTGATTGTTCTTATTCATGTCCACCTCAAGACGCCTATCATGATAGGTAAGAGAAAGACAAGAGATGTTCAGTTCTATAGGGAGGCCACTGAGATGCAATTCGACGAGACTGGTAACCGGAGACGTAAGCACCGGTATGGAGATGAGGAGGAGTTCGAAGCTGAACAAGAGGAAAGAAGACGACGTGCAGCCTTGGATAGAGAGTTCAAATCGTTCGCTGAGAAGATAGCGGATGCTGGGAAAGACGAGGGAGTCGATGTTGACATTCCCTTCAGAGAGATCGGCTTCACCGGTGTCCCTAATCGCTCAAATGTTCTCATTCAGCCCACTACAGATGCCCTTGTTCAATTGACTGAACCACCTTTCCTGGTTGTCAGTCTCAATGAAATTGAGATCGCGCATCTTGAGCGAGTACAGGTGAGCTAAAAAATAAGCTTTCGGGTTACCGCGGGTCTAACGTTGTACAGTTCGGGCTCAAAAACTTTGATCTGGTCTTTGTTTTCAAGGAGTTTCATCGGGCTCCAGTTCATATTAACACAATCCCCGTGGAGAACCTGGAGGGTGTCAAGGATTGGCTGGACTCTGTGGATATTGCATTCACAGAAGGGCCCCTCAATCTCAATTGGACCACAATTATGAAGACCGTTGTCAGTGATCCTTACGGTTTCTTTTCCGACGGTGGTTGGTCATTTTTGGCGGCTGAATCAGACTCGGAAGGTGGTTCTGATGAAGAGGAGGAGTCCGCATTTGAATTATCTGATTCCGAGCTTGCTGCAGACGAAAGCTCTGAAGAGGAGAGCGACTACGACGATGATGCTAGTGCGGATGATGATTTTAGTGCGGATGAGGATGAGGAAAGTGGTGAGGATTGGGATGAATTGGAACATCAGGCTAAAAAGAAGGACAAAGAAAGCGGGTTAGACGAGGACGACCGGAGCAAGAAACGAAAAAGGTGATAGGACCCTCCGCAGTTTATACCCTGTTTCCAACGGTCAATCTTTTACCAGGATCTTGTATTTTACCTACCTTTTCTTTTCAACGTACTCGTCTAATATAACCAATTTCTATGGTGGCCAAAGGACTTCGTACCGCTCGTCAAGAGGGACACTAATTACAGTAGTGGGCAGGGTACTTTGGCCCAGGCCGTAAAATTTTAGGTTCGGGGTAGGTGTCGAAAGAACATCTCATCTGTGAGTCCAAATTCTCGTGTGCAAACCGTCAATATAAAGGGAATGGAAAAAAAAAAAAATAGAGAATGAAAATGGGACGTTCGGCTCAGGGTTTGAATCAGCGGCGCCTCCATTCTAGGGCCTATGCAGCAAGTAGGTAATGCTGAGTTGGTGTCAACACAAATAATAATCCATGTCTTACTTCCATTAGAAAAGTACATTAGAATCATAATATATAACAGGAGAGGTCTTATTCCACCACCTGGTCGGGATTGTAAGACCACTAATTATGTTGATTCCTCGCTGGCGTCGCCATTATATGTGCGTATATCGAAGGCACTTACTTCCCCTCCCTCATTGCGAACCACATGTCTCGCATCCTCTTGATTTGGCCCGGAGTGAAGTGCTCGTAACATTCATCTGACGAATAATCCATGAAGTTATGTACCGGGTCAACACCCGCGATATCCGGGCATGAGTCCTTGCGGGTAGGACATCCGTCCGTCGGAACAGATTCTTGAGCTGTATCGTCGATATAATCGCCCTCGTTTTCAGGTGAGCATGACTCCCCTTCGAATGTATGTAGGAGGCCATTCCAGTGCCCGATTTCATGTATAGCAGTTCCGCCTCGGTTATAATGAGTCAAAGACCCACCAGGCATAGTCATTGCAAGTACATTGCACCCATCCTTCACATAGCTAGAACGTGGACTACTACCGTTGATGCTCGGGTCGGGCAAAGTGCAAAAGCCGAGGACGCTAGATGATGATTGCGAGAGAAAGTCAAGGTGGCGTCCTTGAGACTCGGAATTTGGCGAAACTTGGAGATCGGTTTGGAAGTAGACATTCAGGGTTCTATAGCTTCCTTTACGAAGGGATTCCTTCATGATATGTTCGTCTTCATTGCGAGCCCATCCGTCATTGGTCTGACGCGTCACTCCTTTCAGGCGATAAGTTATCGTCGCGTTTTGATATGCGTCTTGAAGATACGACAACTTTTTTTAAGGTCAGTTAATATTTTGAAACGACCTGATAGATAATTCCAACTGCAGTAGGACTCGGATCAATACTAACCTGGGTGGTAATCATTTCGTCCGACACCACATTGGCATTCGCTTTACTGCTCACGACATGGAACCATGTCTCTATCTCGATGGGCTCCACGGCCTGTCGACTTTCCTGGTCATATGCGCCATCATTTCTGGGCATAGTCAATCTCACAAATGCCTCCCTTAACGAATCATTTGGACCCGCAGTAGCACAGAAACCTCGACCCGAGCGAGGGGCAGCAAAACATGTCCGCTGGAGGCTGGTTATCACAAGGACCAAAACTTGGATTCGAACGAGATGGAGCATGGCGTCTGAGAAACTGGATGCGTGAAAACTTACCAGAGAGGCCGGGGTGGGATTAAAAAACCCAGTGTTATTAGCAGTTACGTGTATTGGTATGCAACCCTTTTCCTAGTTGTCCAAACGAGGGGGTTTCGGACAAAACCAGGAATGAGACAGCAAGGGGTACGGAAGTTGCAAAACATGGGAGGCCATTCCAACCAGCACCCGAGAAAAAAAAAATAAGTAAAAAATTGGGAATCAATTGATCGTTATGCGCTAATCCCACCGAAAGACGCCTCAGACGCTTCAGCTGCCTATTGCCAACTTCAGCAGCCTGGAAAAAAGAAGAAAAGGAAAAGAAAAAAGAACAAAAACGGTACCATCCGGAGTAATGTGCACGCCTGCAAGCATTATCAATATACAGCACCGGGGACAGACTAAACAGAAAGTCTGGACCTGAATGGCATCAGTGTTCTAATTGGAGCGTGGCCCGGCTCTATCGTCCCGCCCTGTCGTAGTCGCGGAGGTCTCTTGTTCGTTATTCCAAGTCAAATATGTGTGGTCACCCAGTTTCCTAGAGGTGTCAACCACGTTCAACTCAGGAGGAAAAAGAAGCCTTACCTCGGTCTGACTAGATGCGCAATCGTAAATAGTGTTCCAAGAAGGACACATACACCGCCAACAACAACATAGGCAATTCCCATGAATGGATTCTGCCCTCCCAGAACAGTCCTTGTGGAAATCAGGATGGACTTGGTACCCCCATAAATAGTGACCGGGAAATCTAAACGGTCGTCAGTACCCGAATAACACCTTGACTGCCATTGACCTACGATCTCTGATGTCCAATTGATACATTCCCACTGACATGGCTGTTGTGTCATTTCGTCGAGATAGCTTGCTAAAAGTTGGCAAGGCCGCCGTTCTCATCCACACCATAAAATCTTCATCTTCATGCAGGTCGGGGATTTTATTCTCATAATTGTCCGGATAACGGTCCCGCCAGTTGGGTGGAGGTACAACTGCACCTGGTTCATATTCGGTCTTTTTAATGAGTTCCTTGTCGCTGTCCCAGGCAATGCCCTTGTTCGTCATATTGTATGGTTCACGCGAATTTCCGTGGCCATTAAGAAGTACAGGGCTATCAATCGTGTCGTTGAACATTGAGTTTGCGATCAGACCACACGGATAGAATGCTTTTCCATTGTCGTCAAGTCTGAGGGGGTCACAGGGACTATCATTGATTGTTTCGTTTTTCACGGCTTTCCCCTTCAATTGATCGATGTCAAGACTCTTCACATATCTTCGATGATTCTGATAAAAGTTCGAGAGGCGGTAGTACATAAAAACCGGCGGTCCAATAGTATCAGGGACGTGAAACATCAGCTGGCATGTTCCATTATCGTATTGCCAAGTTGGTGACTTGTGGGACGACTTGAACGAATACTTGAATTTATCATCGGGAATTGGTACAAAGCCGTTATTGTTGGCGTCTTTGCAATCAGAGTAGTCTATCACTAGTTCTTGAACCTGCAAAATGCAAAGTAATGTCAGAGATCAGAGGCTCAAGATGCTCGGGGATTTAGGCCATACCGTTGAGCTTGCCCATAGTAACAAACCACCGAGAGGAGCAAAAATGACACCAATGACAAAAAAAAGAGGTAAGACACTCTTGGGAGTCAAAATCGGTCTGCATTTCGTCAACGTCTCGTCCTAAATGAGGAAGATCAGTTGCACTCACTGCCAGGCCTTAAGGCGTTGTTGTCGGAACGCTGTATCTATATCCATTATAAATGATCTGAAATTTGACTCGGGGCGCGGAGCTCTCACTTGCTGGCCTTCGGTTTTTGGGTTTATTATCGATGTCAGCATCGCCCCTATGTTCCTGCTCACTGAAAGGTTCAGTGTTGTTTGCTTGGGAATGAGACATGGTTTCTCATAAATCCTATCCCATAGAGGAGAAAAGGTGTGGTAACAATCAAGAGCGCGGGGGAGATGAAAGACGTTAATATAATCTGGGAATCGCAAAACGTGGTGGCGTGGACACCAGCAGTTGCGGACTTGGTGGGCTTCGCCCCAGGAATAAATCCAAGGTAGACTACGGATACGGTAAGTACATACTGCCAAACAGCCCGCCTTGACTCGTTGCTGTGGCTCAGCAGTCCCACAGCCATCAAGCTGCCCAGTAGGTAAAGTCATAAAACAATAGTCCACAACCTAGTATTATTTCCCAACATGTCTTTTCATATATTTACCTATCGTTTCGTAGTACCGGTTAGGTGTGCCCATAAAACTACCTAGTATGTAGAAATGCAGCTATCAACTACACAAATGAGTATCCGTCTTCAAAGTAATAGTTAAACGCCCTATTCAGATAGTAGCATTTGGATTAGTAAGTTCATATAGAAGGTATAAATACTGTTAAGCATTCTTCCATGTGCTGTTTAGTACATAATTAAAATCTGCAGAGACGCCCACGAAGGAGCAAAGCAAGTCCATTCTCCGATGATTCTCATCTTTTCAGCCACACTGGGGCTCAAGCTAATCAGCGGGAGACGACGGGAGACTGTGTGCGATCCAAGCTTGGTCTCCTGACTCCTCCCTCTTCAGCCTCGCCTTTTTTGGGGGTGGGGGTGAGTATCATTCAATTCAAATTCATTGATTGGGGAACTAGAACATATCACCAAAGCTAACAGCAGGAATAATAATAATAAATGGTTAGCACAAACTCCACTGAACACAACTCTATCTAGGCAAGTTCATATGAACTAAACAAGCACTGACCGGTTCCAACAGAAAAAACAGCTCCTAACAGAAACGCCGGTTTGAAGGGTGTTAAAACAAGAAGCCAAGTTACTAAATTCGAAACCCAATCGCCATGTCACACGTCAATCAATCGACTATACTAAATGGATGAAATCCAGAAGAATGAATGAATGAATGAAAAAATATGAATAAAGGCATGTTCCAATGCAGTGATATGCTAAGGGAAGGGGAACTAAGAATGCAGCATATTATGCTAAAGCACAATGGAGCCGGAAAAAACAAGTCGCTAATTAATCCATAATCGAACAAAAGAAATTCAGAAAATCAATCAGGGGATCGTTCAGGAGGTGAAAAAGTGACTGCCGTGCCATGTCTCATCATTTGAGATACTCCCGGAAATAGCCAGCGTTGAACAAGCCAACTCGTTCGTAGGCAGTCCAGAGTTTGCTTGCCTTATTCACGTCTATCTTGCAGGCCTGTTGAGCATCCGTCTTGCGGAATTCCTTGCCAACCCTCAAGGCTTTGACACGAGCCTCGAAAATGCGGCGCTTGCTGCAGAGATATGTCGCACAAGAAAGCCTTAGAGTGGCCGCTAGGTTGATCTCAGCTGAGCTCAACAGGTGCCGCTCCGGATCATTACTAAGGTCCAGCATCTGACCTTTCCAATCTGCCTTTAATGCTTTCGCATTGCCACCGAGAATCTCTAGGGGAGGCGAATAATCCTTGATGGAGCTAAAATCTGTATCATCCCTACTCGTGCCGATGGCACGAGAAGGCTTAGGATTCGGCGTCTGTACGTCAAACGAATCCAAAACCTTTTGTTTTGGGGTAGACTTTGGTGTGCGCTTTACTCTGGGTGTCCGCTGCACACGGGGTTGAGCAGGAACCACCCGTTTTGTGGGCGCTGGCGCGATTCTTTTCAATCTGCCATCTGAGACTTCAGGACGACGTCGGTTCATCATGACCAACTGCCGCTCAAGAGTTTCTCTCTCTTCTTTGGCCCACGCTGCGGGATTCCGATTGTATTGAGCCGACACAACTGGTACACAAGAAAGAGCCAAAAGATACTCATCGCGGGTTGGTTTATTGAGCTTATTTTCGAACCTTGCCATGTGAGAGTTAATGTGCTGTTCCATCAGCGTCTTGGGGGATGGTGGCAGCATGGGGCCAAATAACGGTTCATCGGCAATTTCAGAGGATTCATTCCTTGGGAAAAGAACAGGATCTCTTGACGAGGTAACCAAGGCATCGCCATCGTGTTGCTCTGGGTCGATTGATTTGCTCTTCTTATTCCCAGTATACGGCGTCACGGGTGGCGACGGTAGATCCATTTCGGATTGTGTTCTCTTTCGATCAACTGAGATTGGAGCCAGTTTCATCTGATTTGTATAGGATTGATCCTGCGACAACTTATGAGGTGGGAAATGGGGGTTAAACGATTCGAATGGTTTAGTCTCTGGGGGGGACATGAGGCTGGACACCGAAGGTAGACGACCCATACTAGGCTTCTCACTTGGGTCCAGCGATGATGAGGCTGCGGGGAACGGCGTCATCTTAAACGAGGTGACCGCAAAGCCCGGTACAGCGCGCAGGGGAAAACAGAGGTATTTGCGGTAGGTAACACCTAAAGACACGGTCGCTAACAACCGCCTGAGTATATAGTGGGATAGACGTGAAGATGGAAGATGGCGATGGGATGGTGTTTATAGTACTCAATGAAATGGAGTTTAGCAATACTGGCTGAGTACACGTGAAAGTGATTTGTCAGGGCTTCTTTGTCTGTGGCGACAGGCAGCAAGTATGATGACCTGATCTCGGTGATAAGAACCACAGTGACCGAGAGGGCCCAACACTTATATTCAAGAAGAGGCAGCCCGACAGGTGAGAAGATAACCATGGAATCAAGGAAGGATAAACCAAGACGCCCCTGGGAAGGCGCAGACTGGGCAGATTGGGCTATGAGTCAGTGCGTTGCTGATGGACGGGGCTGAGGTTCTATGGATTGTTATTGTACAATGGACGTTCACGAGACTGCGGGGTTTGGCGCGTGGCCGTCGAAGCTGGGAGGCACGCCAATTTCTTTCATACGAGACCAATTGAATGTTTCGGACAAACAGGATCCGCCAGATGACCTCCTTCGTCTACACTGTAGTTGTGGGATGAGCACTCGCTCTTATATTCAAGAAACTGTCCTTCGCCTGGCAAGGCATCAAAGAGCGTGTGATCGTTGGATGGGAGTGGATGATCTCCCACATGACGACAGTTGTCACGGGAAGGGGGTGGGGGCGGGTGATTCGCTCCGCCATAGGCAGTTCAGACAAGGCATAATTATAGAAAGTTACGGTTGGCTTTACGGTTGGTTGTCCGAGCGCCTGATTGAGGGGCTCGCCTGAGGAGGTCTGGCCACCCACCAATGATTGCACTTCATTGAGCCGTCGCTCTGATGGTTGGGCTGAGAGCCTGAGACCCATGGATAGGTAAGAGTCAGATCACACTCGCTCTCAGAATGGTGGGGGGGTGAGATGATGCGTGCATTGTTGTAGTCATCAATAATAGTAGTAATACAAAGATAGTTACAGTGTACATAATGTTGTATTCATGCTCTCCCCACCCTGAGGAGTTTAACAACTTAGGTCTTGAGTGAGTCAATTCAAATTCCATTCAGGAACAGCGCCAAAACAATTGAAGTTCTGAACAAGGTAGCCAGCCGAATACAGGACTCCCTTCACTTTAATTGAAGGAATTGTTTGGCTGAGAATGGAGGCTTATGCAATGTGGCAAGCGTTCTGCCTGCCTTTTCAGGGTGGACTCTCCCACATGGACATGGAACTGAGATCACGCTTTCGATGAAAATGTAGGGCACTCCGACCGCGGCTCTTCTTCAATATAATATTACTTGACAGGTTTTGTATCGGTGGTGTAATATCCGTCTTGCGCAGGAGTCCGACTTCTCGGTATCACTCTCGACTGCATGTTCAGTGCTGAAATTTGTAGCAACACCCTGAACAGATTATCAGAGGTAACAGTGACTCATAAAAGCAGGTACGGCGCAAAGCCCATGTCACGCACCTATTAGTTAACTAGTAAAGACGGGTGCCTAAGCGCCGGGGAAATGACGGTAGCCTGAACCCAGACCCTGCGCTCCTGTCACAGTCCCTGCCGCATCGGCAGTTCTTCCTGCGGACAAGAGTGTGTGCCCTTGGCTAAATATTGGCTAAGTATTTCCGACAACTCGTGATACTATTCAGTGGACCCTGCGTAGAGCTGTTCCATGGCCAGCCGGGATTACAAATACAGGCACCCGCGAAGCTTTCAACCTTGACATTACGTTGAATAAATGACTTGGGTCAGTGGAGGGAACGTACACCTTTCAAGCAGCGCAACAACATTTCGTAGAACGCTTCAAAACTAGAAGTCTGCTAAGCTCAAGCAAAATTCTGACTCTATCTTCTCTTCGAGGTATGATAGCAGTGTCTTAAAAGCCGCTCCCAGTGGTTGGTTGCGTGTTAAGCAGCAAGGCTGTCCGTAAAGTTCTACCTGTTTACAAGAACTCTTGAACAACAATAACCATCCGTGACTAAGGAAACACCACCACTGAAGGTTTTATTCTATCAGTATTCATAAAGAAATCAATCCAAGGCCTTTTATTACTTTCTCCTCAGGAACAAGTAAAATAGGCAAACGTAGCCCTCCGCCGCAATTTACACACGCGTTGCGGGCCTTTCATTCTAAAAGGGGGGGAAGAGAGAGGGAGAGAGAGAGAGAGAGAGGAACCTACCTGACGCTGCAGGCCAGTATCCTAGGGCCGTAATCATGGCAAACCGAGGCATGGCCCTGTGCGGCAGCGCACACAGGGGCCTGCAATGCACTCATATGTACATCACAGTAGGAACGACCCTACTGCAAGGGGATTGAGTGAAATCAGTCCATTATTGTAAGAGGGCTAGGAACGATGAATTGGTATGCTCCGCCAAGATTGCCGAACAGTCGATAAAATACATTAGATAGTAGGTAAAGAGTAGGTAGGGCTCTGAAAACAGAATATTGCCTAGACAGGTGTATGTGAGGACAGTCATGCCGGTCTGTCGAGCAGATTATGAGATATTACACAGCTTTTCCGCGACATGGCCAGATGAACAGCGGGACGCCCTAGTATTTGGTTCTTTTCTCGGGTTTCAGTTTCTTCCTGCTTTCGTGGGCAATCATGTCGCTCAAGTCCTCCTGAAAGCCCCAGCTGGGGTTATTTTCACGCTGCCTCTGGCTTTCGTAAAGACTTTGCAGGTTATCTTTGTTGATTCCGTCATTGCCTTGCATCTCATCTGGATCCACGGACACGTCGACATCCCCCGGCTTCTTACGCTTCCGAGTGTGGTCTTCAGCGCCCAGCACCGGCAAATTATCCACGGGCCGAAGATCGTACGCCCGGTCACCACCAAAAAAGCCTTGCACCTGTGTTTGTCTTTCAGGGATGACATGAAAAGCGCTTCGATTCCCGACAGACTCCTCGGTCTGTATTCCACGGTAATTCTTCCGCACGTCAAACTCTCCAGACGCATTTTCGACATCACCCAGCTCTGATGGAACAGCTGATATTAAGCCACTTGGGGTTTCAAGGCCGCTAGGGGTTTGTAGACCCGTGCTTACATCCTCCTCATCCATCTCCTCTTCTTCTTCTTCTTCCTCCTCCTCGCTCTCCTCTTCAGATAATTCCGGTTCCTGTAGCTCTCCCCAGAGGTCCCTTTCAACAGGCTCGCCTTGCTGCATGGTTTGTTGGGGTTGTAGGACCCCGAAAATATCACCTCCATATAGGGGTCTATTGTGTTCATCGACAGGAGGTTTGCCATAGCCTCCCGGATGGTAACCCCACATAGCACCCGGGGGCGGCGGAGCATTGAGACCTGGGATCTTCAACGCTGGGTAGGAGGGAGGGGGCCCATAACGTTGTTGGTTTATCAACCAGGGTGGGGGCGCACCAGGGGGCATATTTAAGGCCTCTTTCAGTTCTGGGCTGAGCTCCCCGGGACGCAGGTGGCGCTGGTTAGTCTCAAATTCCTTTCCTTCGTAATAAACTTCACCATATCGGGTAAGTTCCGGCTTGGTCTGGAAGCGGAAAAAGGCCTCATAGAGCTTCTGATAGTCAATATCAAGTCGACCCATTTTTGGTTGCACTCTCTCCCTCTGTTTCTGTTTCAGTGTTGCCTGGTCTTGTTTTTCGAGGGCAGCATCGCGCATTTCTGAAATCCCCGTTTCCTGTATGAACTTAGGTAAGGAAAAGGGTGGCTTCTCGATTCCTCTCTTCGACGACAAGTATTCTCGCTTTAGGGACCAGTGAGATGGCACTGGGACAACATTTCGATGTGCCTTTAAATGGACCAGGAGCCGGGGATCCGGCGCTGAGGTATCTGTCCACTCCACTAACTCCGGTTTTCTGACCATTGCCTTCAGCTCGGCAACAGACAGTTTATTTAATTCCTTTCGCTTTCGCTTCGATAATGCGGGGACTTTGTCCTCTTCTTCTTCTGGGATATCGGCATCATCATCATAGTAAACCTCCGGTTTCTGGGTTTCGGCCTCGGTTGCCTTAACATCTTCGACCTCATCAAACTTCGTGGCGATGTCCTTGTACATTTGCCATAGAGGGTCGTTGGGGTCAAGCGAGATCATGGGTTCTGAGTCAACATCATTGGTCTCTGGAGCGGGTGATGGTTTTGTCTCATGGTCTGTATCTGATGAGCCGTGGGCCGGTTCGTTGCCCTTGAACTAAAGTCAGTGTGTGTTTTTTTAAGCTATGCCAGGGGTGCTGTAAGAAGGACGTACCTGAAATTTCAATGCCTTTTTTCGCGCCCGCCTTAATTGGTTCTTACTCGGCTTCATAGTAAGGAGTAGTCGTGCAATCCAATCAATATATGGATCGCAGCACGCCCGATTCTTCGTCCACGGAGAGGTTGTGGAAATGTACTCTCGGAATGGATGCTTATCGATTTTGCCATTTCTAGCATGGGCTCTTTCTAGGGTAGGCTAAACATGCCCCTGGCGCAGCCTTGAGCTGCTTAGGGCGCTATTCCTATTCTGGGTAAGGTTTGAGGGGGGCAGGCAGGTGCCAATTGTAAGACACCGGGGGTGCCGAGGATCGAGGAACTACTAAGCCAAGTCAATAAAAGAGTATAAAATTAACTAATTAGAGGTCTTGGTTTAAAATAGAATAAATTACTTGGAGAACTAAATGAGAATTAATATTTAAGAATTTTATATAGATTTTCTTAGAGATAAAATAAAGAAAGCCTATTACTAGATTAATAGTTATATAATTTTTAATCTCCAATATAGATTACTATAGAATTCTCTCCAGTTTTTTTCCAAATAAAAATATATATGGCTTATAAATTATTTCAAAAAGGTAATTAATTTTTATAATAATAAGTTATATAACTTATATAAGAGATTAGTAACGTAATTCCCGGGTCATCCGACTGCCCCTAGTAATCCAACTACTAATAAGTTATTAATATGTTACCTAACATGCTAACTTTTAAGTAATTACTATAATATAAAA